AGGCGCTGATTAGAAACACGCAGGCCTCTCGAAACTGGCAAGAGACACGTCGCCCCACTCTCCCTGTGTTCATGGCAGATAACTAATCAGCGTGGCAGCTTTCCCACCGAACCCACTAGCAACATCTGCATCCTTCTCAACACAGCATTCTGCACACAGCAGCTACCACCAGTCAGTCATGGGCGGCTGACAAGAAGCCTAATTTCCATCTCTACAGTGGTTGATCTCCTTCCCTAGGCGTGGGGACACGCCGAACAGGCTGAGATGAATACACACAAGGGAAAACTTCATAAATATCGGTCCACCTGACTTGGCTAATTATTATTATTATTTTGTCCCATGGAAGTCAAACACGTTGCAAGAGGCAACCTGGTGTGGTAGAAAGCACTTGACCAGAAAAACACACCAGCTTTTTAATCCACTCAGTGCAATATTCAAATCCTGACCGTCACTTCTGAGGAATCTAACCTTCCTGAGTCTCAGTTTCCTCATCTAGAAAATGGGAACAATAATAAATACTTCAAAGAGATGACACCAAGTGGCCAAGGTCTGGTCTCGCCTAGGGGCTGACAAAGGTGAAGCTGGGAAGGGGGAAGGTCAAGGGGCTGGTGGGTCCTTGAAAGTAGTGCACACAGCCAAGTGGACTAAACCCTCAGGGCTCTGACATCTGCTGGGCTGGCCCCGCCTCCACTCAGTCAGATCTGCATGGGCCTGATGGGGTTAATTAATAATCCACACACCATGGAAACACAAAGTGCTGTGCGTACACATAACAGGTAGATTTTGCTTGGCTCTGGCCCAAACTTGCTGTGTGCCTTTGAGAAAGTCCCTTCCTCCCGTGGGCCTTCAGCTCTGTAGGCAGGATGTCCGAGCACCATGATTCTCTAACTTGGCTGACAGGGCCCAAACACAAACTTTCATTTCCCAGTTGATCAAAGAAGACCTAGACCTCTCTGCTGAGGGCCCCCTGACTGGAGTCCTGCATTCTCTGTCTTGCATAAAACACACAAGAATGAGCCGCCTATAATTTCCTGTCCCTGTTTCTGTAACGGGAGCAAGAAGTTAGAACCACCTGCAAAGGCATGAGGGCATGATTCGGCATTTTCCCAATGATGCCCTCAATCTTTTCCAGTTGTCTCACACATACCTAATTCTATGCAATGTTTCATGGAACTTGCCTTGATCACATCTTTCCAAAGAATTCAGTGTGGTTTTTCTAAGGACAGATCTCTTTCACACTCATGTGGGATTTGTTCACACATATTTTGTTGGAAGTATATATTTCATTAACAAGTACAATTGCCCAAAAGACATTTGAGAGCAAACAGAAGCTTGGATATACTTATAATCCAACTGTATGCACAGTGTCACATAAACGGACACCCCCCCCCTTCATGGTTCCAAGTGCCTCAGGCATACGTCAATATGTTATACAGAAGGAGTGTGAGTGTCAGTTAACTGACAAGCTGGTTAAGACAAGGGTGATTCAGAAAGAGAGCCAGTTGGACACTGATAGACTATTTCACCCAACAAGAGCTAAATACACATTCTCCTCAAGTCCACATGGGAACTATGTTCACCAACATAGAGCATATTCTGGGCCAGAAAACACACATTAACAAAGGCAAAAACAACAGATAGCACACAATTTTTGCTGTCTACCACAATGGAATTAAACAAAAAATCAATTTTTTAAAAAGATACCTGGAAAATTCCAAAATCTTTTTTTAATTATGTTTATTTTGTATTCTTTTGGGGGGAGGTAATTAGGTTTTTATTTATTTTAATGGAAGCACTGGGAATTGAACCCAGGACTCTGTGCATACTAAGCATGCACTGTACCACTGAGCTATACCACCCTCCCCCTGAAAATTCCAAAATCCTTGGAGATTAAATAACACGCTTCTAACTAACACATGGATCCAAAAGTCTCAAGGGACACTGAAAAAATATTTTGCACTCACGGAAAAGGAAAAAAAACACCAATTAAATTTTTCACACTCAGGGAAAACAGTGCTTAAAGGAATATTTTTAGCACTGAATGCATATATGAGAAGAGAAAAACTAAACTCAGAGAGGGATGACCAGGTGGAGCAAGAGATGAGAATATTCTGCAGTGATTTCATAATTAGTGGAGATGAGATGTTACGATTTGGCAGTCCCATAAAATGTCCAAAACAGACTGAACCCTAGTGTAAACTATGGACTTTAATTACTAATAACATATCACTATCAACTCATCTTGCAGTGAATGTACCACACCAACATTAGTAATAGGGGAAATTATGGATGGAATGAGAGGGGACATGAATGAACTCTGTACCACAATTCCATCTTTCCATAAACCCAAAACTGCATCAGGAAATACAGTCTGTGATCAAAAGGGGGAAATGCATAGCACAATCTCATTTTAAAATGAGAGACACTGTAAGAGTTTGTGTGTGTGTGTGTGTGTGTGTGTGTGTGTGTGTGTGATAACCTAGGAATAATATCTGAAAACATCTACACCAAAATGTTTATACTTATAGTCTCCGAGGTTTTAGGTTTAGGTTTTAGGGTCATGAGTGGTCTTTAAGCTTCCTGCTTTTTCTGATATTTTTGGCTTGGGATATGCATGCACAGCTGTAAAGATCATCGGAGACTATAAAACAATTTTTTAGACAACAAAAAAGACAAAGGAAACCAAAAGATGTTTTTACTTGATTTCTTTTCGATGAGGTACTAATCTTGGTTAAAAAGCAAAATTGTTAGAACACTCCGAGAAAGGCCAGATATTCTAGCTGCTGGTTAAAGGCAAAGTCTCAGAAAACTGAGGGAGAAGCTGGGAGACACACATCAAGATCAAAGGGGTGGTTGACTGGCTAAAAGGCAGAGAACAAGGGTTTGGCTCCTCCCTTCCAAGGAAACAAAACTAACAGCAGCCCAGTCCCCGGCAGCAGGAGAGACGGAGGCTAAGAGGCTTTGCCAGCCCGCTCTGCCTGCGCTGGCTCTCCTGCAAGGA